AATTAATTAATTAATTAATTAATGAAATACAAAGGTGTTATGTACAGTCATGACTCTGTTTAGTACCCTAATTAAATGAGAGGAAGCCAGTGGCAGATCCAGACCTTGAGCTAAGAGGGGGAGGGGTGGTTTTGTTTTGCTTGCCTTGCCGGGTTTTGTTCCTTCTGTGATTTCTTCCTTTTTCACCCAAAATCAGGGGGAGGGAGGGTCAGGCCCCTTCCCTAGATCTGCCACTGGAAGCTAACTGGAATCATTACAGAATCATATGTGCTTAACCCCCCACAAAATGTCATCAGCCCTGAACTACAGGGCCCGGTTGTTCAAAGCCCGATTAAGCTAACCCAGGATTAGCAAGAATTCTGATTTCAGTTTTGCAACTTTTCGGTGAGGTTTTCTGTTTATATTGTTTGTCCTTCAGTTTTGAGCTTGAGTACTCTCAAACTACACAAAGCATAAGCAGTGTAGAACAAAAATTGTTACTTCGGTTAAATTTTAATCCTGGGTTAGCGTTAACAAGCGTTAACCGGCTTTCGAACAACCCGGCCCAGACCAACAGTTAAGTTTACACAGTGCACTTGAACTTATTCACCTGGACGAAAATTTGCATCCAAGTTTTCCTTTGACAACCAAATAGGTAGGGAAGTATCTGAAGTGGAAGAAAATACTCCAACCGCATTCCACTTTGTGGCAACCTTTCGTAAAATGGCAGCTCCAGGAGGAACGTCATGGCCTCGTAAGTTACGAACAACATACTGTCCGTGAGAATCTCGAGTGAGTTCGTGCAGTTTCACGCCAAATGAAGTTGAACTTGCATAATCAGCTACCATATAACAACACAAACCATTGGCAAATGTATCGTCTCTGGTATTTACATTGTTGAATGACTCAACTTCAAAAGGGCGATACGTCAAAATGCTGCATGTGTTCTTCCCAAACAAACCATGACGGAACAAAGAGGAATTCGGGTCCAGCAGAATCAAAGCCAGTCCAGAAGGATACGGCAAAATCTCGTCATCAACAACAGCGCCATGCAGTTTAATTGTCTTCAACTTTGATCCTGATTTTACAAAGTCCACGCGGTAGTTCTTGACATCGAAGTCCCCTTCGAAGACTTCCTTAGTTGTCACGATAAAGTACTCACTCTTCCACTTTGGATCAATTTGGTGTTTGATCAGGCTTCCAGAACCGACTGTTTGATAACCATGATTTCCTATACGTTTCTGAATCCGGCAGATTCCACTTTCGCCTTTTCTCTCATTTCTTTCCACTTCTTTCTTAAGTGTTTGTCCTTCAAATACCGCCCTAGCCACACTCGTACTCATATTCAAACACTGCTACAACGCCTCGTCCCCAGATATACCTATTCAAGGTATTACCGGAAGTTGCATGAAAGCGAGGCTTAGGGTCAATTGACACGTCTTGCGCAAATCTCAAAGTGGAGAACGACAGACCACACCACTTGACAACAAACGATATTCCGTATTTGTTCGTTGAAGATAAAGAAGATATAGGTACATGAACAGTATGACAGTTAAAGTTTTGGTCGAAGTGTGTTACCGGCCAGCGTTCTGACATGTTAACCTTACTTACTCAGGTGGCCCAAGCTCATGGTGCGAGGAGTGTTCTGATCTTTTTTTCTTCTTTTTCCTTTTACTTTTTAGCGAACGTTCAGCGAAAAGTGACATATAGAACTCTAAAAGGGCGGAGTTCGACGCGCTAAGCAATGGGCTTACTGCGTCTTATATATACCTCTTACTAACCGAGCTCGAGGTTCGTACTTTAGGTTACGGACCGAGTTTTTTCCACTTCGATTTGTGGTCCAAGCGCGAAGACCACAAATCGAAGGGGAAAAAACGAGGATCCGTAACTTACAGTACGGACCGAGAAGACGAGGTTCAGATATTTATTATATCTCTACTGTGTGTCTGAACGGCCAGGAAACGATTTCTATTTACGCGGAACGGCTTCAAATTTCTAACGCACGTCGAAAGCAAAACGAATCAGTTTGAAATCGTTGTTAGTCGTTAACACAATTTAAAGTAAAAGAAAGTTTTAAACTCTTACTTGCTATAAAAGTTAAGAGCACTTATCGATAAATCACGAAACATTTTAGGAACAAAAGCAAACAGCGTTAAATTTTAGCGGGCTGTACAATGTTATATGCTAGCTCCAGTCTCATGTGGGGGCAAAATTTGATTTATTTAATGAATTAATGAGGCCATTTTTGGCCGAGTGATCACTGCGTTCTTTCAAACTACTGAATTGCCCGAAAAACACTCAAAAAACAACGTTCTAAAAAATGGTTTGATAAAGACTGTTTGTTTTTGAGAAGGACTGTAACTGAGTTATCTAACAAAAAGCGTAACAACCCTTACGATGAAAATCTAAGACAAAAATACCATAAAGACGGTAAATTTTTAAAAAAGCTCATTAAATTTAAGAAAACTAAACTACTTAACTCAGAAATCTATAACCTAGTGAAACACAAAAGGAATTAAAAAAATTTGGAGTTATCTGAAATCAATAAACGGAAATGGTCAGAGTTATAACTCCAATGAGTTTGAAGTGCCCATCGATAAACTTTATAATCATTTTAAAGAACTTACACTAGCAACCAAAGCCCTCTTCCTTGTCTTCATCCCATATATCTGTTATAAAAAAAAAAACAAATAAGCCCTAGTACAACAGAAATATACTCACAACTATTTAGACGACCCTTTTTCTTTACATGAAATTGAATTCAAACCACAATAAAACTACAAAAGTCTGAGAAAGGCCCTGGTCCCGACAGAATACGAAACGAAGTACTTAAAATGGGTCCGCCTCATTAAAAACTTCAGCTTGCAAACTCTTTAACCTTATTCTCACTGGCGGTTTTTTCCCCAGTAGCTGGTGCAAATCAGGAGACAAACCAGATCCCTACAAATTATAGGAGAATCTGCATAAACAGTTGCAAGGAAACTCTTTTCCGCTGTACTCAATAAGAGACTGAAAAATTATGTACACGATCAACATATTTTACACCATGCGCAAATCGGCTTCATTCCTAATCATCGCACAACTGATCACATCTTCACCCTCCGAGCTTTGATTGACAAATTCGTCACTCATACAACCAAAGGTAAGCCTTATACCGTTTCGTGGACTTAAAAAAGGCTTTTGATTCAATATGGCACGACGGTGTACTCTACAAATTGCTCAAATACAAAATTGGAGGAAAATTTTATGACCTGTTCAAAACTCTTTATTCAAAAACAAAATGCTCCGTCAAACATGGTGATCAAAGGAGCAAATTTTTCGACTATGGAAATGGTGTCAGACAAGGCTGCATTCTGTCTCCTACGCTTTTCAATCTTTATTTTAAATGAAATCCCTTTTCCTCTTGATTAACAAGACACAGATCCTATAGTATTATCAAATGGTTCTTCTGCACTCACCTAATCTATAGAACGACATACAGCAAAACAGCAATACATGGAGAATATTGGATTGTGGCCTGAGAGTAACGCCATAACGCCACTTTATTAAAGCAGATACTAATAACGTCTACAAAAAGAGAAATTGAAAATGTA